AGTATATATGGTAGTTAGTACAAAATATGTTTGATCTTAAAAAGGAAATAATTTTTTGTACTTTGTCAGAATTTATTCATTTAGTGGCATCTATTCTAAGTAATATAAATGATCATATTTGAGATTGAGCCCTGGCTAGTTTGGCTCAGTGGATAAAGCATGGGCCTTCGGACTGAAGGGTTTGGGTTGATTCTGGTCAAATGCACATAACTAGGCTCTGGGCTTGATCCCCAGTAGGGGGTGTGCAGGAGGCAGCCAATCAGTGATTCTCCATCATCATTGATCTCTCTCTCTCTCTCTCTCTCTCTCTCTCTCTCTCTCTCTCTCTCTTTCTCTCTCTCTCTCTTCTCCCTTCCTCCCTCCCTCCCTCTCCCTTTCCCTGTCCCTATCTATCTATATCTATCTATCTATCTATCTATCTATCTATCTATCTATCTATCTATCTATATGAATATATATATATATATATATATATATATATATATATATATATATATGGTGTGTGTGTGTGTGTGTGTGTGTGTGTGTGTGTGTGTGTGTGTGTATGCTAGTGGCCTGGTGCATGAAATTTGTACATGGGGGGGTGGTGGAAACCAGTGTCCCTCAGCCCAGCCTGCACCCTCTCCAATCTGGGACCTCTTGGAGGATGTCCAACTGCCAGCAGTCCGACATCCCTTTCACAATCCGGGACCACTGGCTCCTAACTGCTCACCTCCAGCCCCTAACCGCCTCTGCCTCAGCCCCACCAGAATGGCTTTGTCCAGAAGGACATCTGGAAGGTCTTCCAGTCTAATTAGCATAGATATTTAAACTTGATGTTGAGGTGAGATAACTGATATCTGGACCAGGTAGAGAAAATTATGTTCTAAAGATCAAAAGAACCCAGTGAGATTCCATAGAATCATGGAAGCCAATCAAAATCAGCTAATGCAATAGACATTACATTGACTTGAAAGTCAGTATCTATTGCCCTGTCCCATATGACCTTGGATAAATTGACTTCTCTATAACTCAATTCCTCTTCCTTTATCTTTTTCTTGTTTTGTTTTGAATCCTCACCTGAGGATATTTTTTCCATTGCTTTTTCAGAGAGTGAGAGGGAGACGGAAGAGAGAGAGAAACGTAGATGTGAGAGAGCCACATTTGCCTTCTTCAGGCACCCCAACTGGAGCCAGGGAGTGAACATGCAACCCAGGTATATACTAATGACCTGAAATCAAACCTGCAACACTTTACTGTGTGAGTCACTGCTCCAACCACTGAGCAACACTCGCCAGGGCCAATTCCTCTTTCTTTAAATGCCACGTGAGTTACAATAATCTGTGACATTTCTTTCATTTACATCATTCCTGGTACATGATAAATGCTCAGTAGATAGTATCCATTTCTAGTGGCAATATATGCAGTTGACATTCAGGAGACAGTTTAGATATGTTGTGTCCAATATTACTTATGGAGCTATAACAAATTCCTGTCCAACTTAAAGCATACATCCTTAAAACTATTCATCTAGAATGACTATAAACTAACCTAAAACACCACAGAAAGAATGCTTTTCTTTTTTAGTAATCTATGCTTAATGCTGGCCAGTTTTTTAGTTACACTGTCCATGAATGTCAAGTCTTAAATATAAATAATTTTAAAACATTTATTTTTTTAAGAGAACTAGCTAGAAAGATAGGTAGGTAAGTGGATAGAATTGTATTAATAAAATTATCTCCTTAAACAAAAGCATAGTATTTACAGGTTTTTATCATCAAAACTTGGAATCCATTACAGTGTACCCTGTTCATTATTATTATTACTTTTTAAATATATTTTATTGATTTTTTACAGAGAGGAAGGGAGAAGGGAGAGAGACAGAGCCAGAAACGTCGATGAGAGAGAAACATCAACCAGCCGCCTCCTGCACATCCCCTACTGGGGATGTGCCTGCAGCCAACGTACATGCCCTTGACCAGAATCGAACCCGGGACCATTCAGTCCACAGACCGACGCTCTACCACTGAGCCAAATCGGTTTCGGCAATTATTATTAAAAATTATTTTAATAGTTAAATGCTATGAAGAAAACTTGTAGAATCAGCTTTTCTGTACATTCTTAGAATTCTAAACCAAGACTATTTACAGGAAAACATTGTTTAAGCTTAGCAAGAATAAATATTTTTAATTACTTTTACTTCAGACCAAAGGCATATATTTTTGTCAGGGCATATAAATCTTTTTGACATATGTGACTTATATGAATATTTATATAAACAGGCTAATTATGTATTAGATGTATCAGACACATTTAGCTTATTTATATGTAGCTCTATTTTTACTCATTGACTTAAAGTAAAGCTTTTCATAACTATATTTCTATAATAGGATACATTTGATATAATAAATTATATAAATGATATCTTTGTGAAATTACATAATATAGTAAATTAACTATTCTGAACTGCTAAATAGTAATAGGTGTTTTATAATATAAAAGTTTTTAGAGTTTTAAAAGTTTGGAAAACAAAATAAATTAAACATCTGTTTTCATCTCAAAACTTGACAGTCTTTAAATAGGCAAATATGCATTAACTCAAAATCTTTTTATTTTTAATGATTAGTTTTCTCAGAGTAGTTTTATGGGACACATTTTGGAAATGCTGTGACATAAAATTTATACATTTTCTTTTAGTCACAAAAATTAATTGCTATTTCCATAATGATCTCCAAAGGCTTTTAGGGCAGAAAATATGGATTGATACAGTTGTAACATTACTTTCAGAGCCATCTCACTGAACCATGGGAAGTCTTACTTAGCTTTATTATTTATTCTCCCTGTAACCTGACTTCTCGGAACTCTACCAGCACATATAATTGACTCTCAGGGGTCAACTATGGGTTATCATTCCTTTCTTTTTTTTCCCCCCATCATACATGTTGGATGGTTCCCTTAACTCAACAGCCTGAGGTGAATCAGTGTGTGAGATACTAGCATTCATTAGTAGATGTTGAATAGTCAGTGAATTGTATTCCAAGAACAGAAGTAGAATAAAATAAAATTTAGAGGACTCAATAAGGTAAACACCAAGAATAACCAAATATATTTAAAGCTTTATTCCTGTTAAACAGAGAATAGACATCCTTCTGATCTTCCATGAAATTAAAATACATTAACCTTGGATTTGATGAAAAAGAAAATTTTAATTTCAAAAATGAAAATTGTTGAAGTCAGTGAAGGCTACATTCACTGACTTAAAGTACATAAAATTTTAAATTACATATATATACATTTAAACAATGTATGATTGCTACATACAGACTTTTTATGCATGCAAATTATACATGTTCTGTACCCGAAGCTACACTGTGTTCTAGTAAAAAGCCTGCTCAGATTGGCCAGAGTCAGAGAGGCGGTTTATTAAAAAAAGAACTGGTGTTGCCTCGGAAGTGGGGGGTAGTCTTATACAGCGAATATAGGCCCAAACCTATGTTTTAACTGTAAAATTGGGGTCGTCTTATACGCCGGAAAATACGGTGTCTGTGTGTGTGTGTGTGTGTGTGTGTGTGTGTGTGTGTGTATATTCAAAAGCAATCTGTTCATTTGGGATTTTTCTTTAAATGTTCTTTTGAGATGAAGAGAAAAACTTCTCTAAAATCACAAACCTACTTAGCTCTGGCTGGTGTGGCTCAGTTGCTTGGAACATTTTCCCCTGCACCAAAAGATTTTGGGTTTGATTCTGAGTCAGTGCATATACCTGGGTTTTGGGTTCAATCCCAGCTCAGGATACAGGAGGCAACTAATTGAAGTTTCTCTCTCACATTGATGTTTCTCTCTCTCTTTCTCTCTCTCCCTCTCTCTCTCTCTGTCTCTGTCTCTCTCTCTCTCTCCTCCCACTCCATTCCTTCTTCTCTCTCTAAAATCAATAAAGTCATATCCTCAGGTGAGGATTAAAAAATAAATAAAACAAAATCACAACCTTCTTAAAATGAATATTAGTGAGTACTTTGCATATTTAAATCTTTATAACAGCCAAAGAGTAGTCCAAAGAAAATACTTTACTCTAAATGCATATATTTAAAATAGATTGAAAATAAATTTTCAAATGAACACATTAGATAATAAACAATAACAAAAAATGCAAATTAATATTAAGTCAAAATTAATACAAGAAAACAAATAGTTTACCAGAATTAAAAGTGATCATTAAAACTTGTCTTTTAATTTGAAAACACCAAGACATTGACATTCATTGAGACTCATTAAACATAATAAAAAAAAGAAAAACCACAACTAACATTAGTAGTAATAAAGGAGCATAGCTACATGTATAGAGGATATGTAAAAAAACACTAGATAAATATAGATTAAATGAATATTACTCTAGGAAAATATAAATTATCAATTGAAACAAAAACAAATAGAAAGTGCATACCAGTAATAACAGAATAAGATAAAAGGAAATTCAGAGTACCTAAAAGGCATAGGCCTAAATATTTTACAGGTAAAGTTAATTAGTGTAAATAATCAATATCCAATTTGTTATCTATGACCTGAATTTCTTTTCTTTTAAGGCTAACAACCCATTATATTTATACTTAAACACCACATTTTATTTATTCATTCATCCACTGATGTGGAGATAACATTTAGTTATCTCCACATCTTTAGCTATTATGAGTAACTAAAGATAAAGTATTTCAATATATGTTGCCCAAGACCCTTCTATATATATAATTATTTATAAATATATATATATATTTATTATATATATATATTTATAAATAATTATATACATAGTACGTTTATTATCACTAATGTTAATTGTGGTTGTTCTCTCTCTCTCTCTCTCTCTCTCTATATATATATATATATATATAAAATATTTATCTATCTTATTTATTTATTTATTTATTTATTTATTTATTTATTTATTTTGAGAGAGAGAGAGAGAGAGAGAGAGAGAGAGAGAGAGAGAGAGAGAGAGAAAGTCCTTGCCTTTATTGGAAGACCAGCTACTAGTTGTGGGTGGGAGGAGCGGATGGTCCCCTTGCCAGGGTCACGATTTCCACCTGTTGAAGGCCTTGCCCTTGTGGAAGCCCAGCCTCTCCCGGGATAGGATCACCTCCCACAGGTGCACCTTCCCCACCTTCCCCACCTGGGCTTCTCCGAGGCCCCGCCTTCTGGGCCTGGCGCAGGCGCTTCAGCAGGGAGCGCGCTCCTCCTCTGAGCATTCGGAGCCAGCACTGGGCTCCTCCGCTGCTCTGGCCCTGGGACAGGTCGCTCCGCCTGGCAAGGTCCTCACCAAGGTAGGTGACTTTGCGGAAGGTCCGCTGCTGCTTCTGCTCCACTTCCGCCCTTTGTTGGTTTCTCGGAAAGCTTTTGTTGTTGTTTCTAGTAAGTCTGTATTTTATATATATATATGTATGTTTTTGTTTTTTGAGACAAACAATATTCACTCTCAGTTCTCCAGCAGTTCTCATTCCTCCCTCTTGCCCACACAAATCCTGACCCATTTCTTCCCGGCCAGTTCGAACCTGAACCTGTTTACTGCCATTTTCACAGACAACAACCAGTGCGAGAGATGCAGGTGGAGGAGTCTGGAGAGGAGATGGGGTGGGCCCATCAGAGGCTTCCTTCAAACCCAGAATGACTAACACCTGGGCAGGCATGGGGAGGCTCAGGGAGACAGTCTTGTGAAAAGTTGCACTGTTCTCTCATGTTGGGAGGTGGAGGAAGTCCAGGGCACAATGAATCTCACTCACTTTGTCAAAACAAACAAACAAAAAACTTAATTTGAGGGTTGGCAAGTCATGGACATGGAGAAGGATTGTGAGGGGATGAGCAGCTGGTAAGAATGAAGTGTGGGTTCATGATGCTCATTCAGACTGTTAAACACAACCATTAAGCACTGAGTTGCTTTTGCCTGTTTTTCAACTCAATGTTGGTTTAAGCATAAAGATGTCTAGTTTAATTTAGAAATAAATCATGAAAGTGATAAATATATGCAATTTTTTAAAAATATATTTTATTGATTTTTTACAGAGAGGAAGAGAGGTGAATAGAGAGTTAGAAACATTGATGAGAGAGAATCATCCATCAGCTGCCTCTTGCACACCCCCTACTGGGGGATATGCCCACAACCAAGGTACATGCCCTTGACTGGAATCAAACCTGGGACCTTTCAGTCCGCAGGCCGACACTCGATCCACTGAGCCAAACCGGTTTTGGCTGCAGCTTGTTTTTAAGCTACAATTATATTTTCTAATATCAGATCATGATCTCAAGTATTTTGCCATAATATGTGGTGAATATGTGGTGTTATTTCAACCTACTTTTCAATTAATTCAATATCTCAACTAAACATGAAACAATCTCAACTCTTATGGTGTCATCAAAATATGATTTTTTCCCCTCCCAAATATATTTTGAGTACATTTTAAGGAGCTTTTCGATAAAGAAAAAAGATTGAAATTTGTCTTTATAATATAATTCATTTGAACAATAAGTAATGAGTGTCTGCTACATGCCAAGGCACTTTTTGAGATCCTGGGGGTTGAGCAAGGAACAAAAAAACCTTATTGTTTGCACGGATCTTAACTTTTTATTATATGTATGAGTATGTGTGTGCTGGCAAAAAAAAGACAACAAACAAATTAAAAGCAGTGTCTACTGTATATAAGAAAGTAAGTGTTGTGGAGAAAAATAAAGCAGATAACAGACAGATATTCAGGAAAGGGAAGTAATTGTAAATAAGCTCGTCAGGAGATATTTACTCCTATGTATAACTGAGAAAAGACGTGAAGGAGGCACAGAAGCACATTGTGAAATTTCCTGTAGAATGCATATGCAGGCGGAGCAAATAGTGAGTGCAGAGGGACTGAGGAAGGAGTAAGCCTGGAAATGTTAGGAGCTGCAACAAGTTTGGTGTGGCTCAAGGAGACTGATGTCAGTAAGCCCAGAGTTCACTCAGATGGAGCCTTTTAGGCTATTAGTTGGAGGTTGGCTTTTAGTCTGAGCATTTTAAGCAGAAGAATAACATCTGATTACTTTTAAGAGAACCACTTTGACAATCTTAGACTAAATTGTTAGAAGGCAAAGTTAGAAGCAGGGAGCCTGGTAAGAAGGTATTAAAATTAAAGGACCAGAAAATGATAACGACTTATACATGGCAGTGGTAGCGGAGTTCATGAAAAGTGGTCATAACGTACACATGTATTTGCAAGATTGAATTAGAAAGGCAGTAGTTGGAGCAGATTTTGGAGGGAGGTTGAGGACATGTTGAATTTGAGGTATCTCTTGGGGAAGATAGTTGGGTATTAGAGTTTAGAGCTCAAGGAAGTCTAAGCTAGAGCTATAAAATATAAATTACTGAAGGTAACAGAAAATTCTATTACACAATATATAATTATTACATTATATATAAAGATAAAAAATAAATTATTTAATATAAAATTACTTATCACTTACTACCTAAAACTTATGTTTTTGATTGCTAAAAGGGTGTTGTTAAATTACATATTTGTGAAAGGGGTTCACAAATCAAAGATTAAACAATATTATATTTCCCTAATATATTTCTATATTACCCCTGAGGTTAATTTCAGTTTAAAAATCACTGAACTTGCTGAAACCGGTTTGGCTCAATAGACAGAGCGTCAGCTTGGGGACTGAAAGGTCCCGGGTTTGATACTGGTCAAGGGCATATCCCCAGTAGAGGGTGTGCAAGAGGCAGCTGATCGATGACTCTCTCTCATCGATGTTTCTAACTCTCTCTCCCTTCCTCTCTGTAAAAAATCAATAAAATATATTTTAAAAAAATAAATAAAAATCACTGAATTTTATAATATGGATGGAAGCTTCAAATTACATCTACTTCAGCAATGACATTTCACAAGTAAAAAAGAACTTCTACCCAGCTGGTATGGCTCAGTGGTTGAGCATTGATCTGTGAACCAGGAGATCATGGTTTGATTTCTAATCAGGGCACATGCCCGGGTTGCAGGCTCAATCCCTAGTGTGGGGCCTGTAGGGAGCAGCCGATCAATTATTCTCTCTCAAAATTGATGTCTCTATCTTGCTCTCCCTCTATGAAATGAATAAAAAAAAATATTAGAGAGAAAGAGAGAGAGAAAGAGAACTTCTGTATGATAGGTAAGATAGGTCTGACAACTAAGTACTTCAGTCTTAGCTCTGACTCAAAGGCAAAAATCCAGAGCCAGTTTCACTTATACCATTGCTCGAACTGCGCTCTGTAACTTCAGGCCTCTGCATAACTAGTAAGCACACTGTTCATGGGAATAAGATTCTCTGGACTTTTCTTTAAAGCTGTGCAGCTGGTAGTAGAAGACTTGGCATTCAAAACCTTCTCTGATTCCAAGATCCATCAGCTTATTCCAACACAACTTATCTCATGAGACTTGGCCCACACTAGTCCCAGGCCTCATTCCAGGTCTAAGCAGTATCTTAAGAAGAAAAGCAAGCATAAGGCTTATGGTGTATGCTTGCCATAGGACAGCACTGAACACTGGTGTTTCATCTGGCAGAACAGAACACTTTGCCTTGGGACGTGTCATCACCTGACATGGGGCCACTGCAATTATTAAGACACACCCAGACCAGTTTTGGGAGTTGTGGCTTTCTGGGAAAGTTACATAGAAAAGATAGAACTTGCAGGACAGTTAGGCACAGGATATGCTTGACAAAAGAAATAGAATGTAAAAATGCACAAGTGGGATGTTTACCCATTTGTGATAAATGAGGGATTTGATAGTCCTCAGAGACAGAGTTCTTATGATGAAGTGTCAAGAAAATGACTCTAAAGGTAACAAAAGAAAAAAGAAAGTTTATATTCTTTGCTAAGGAGTTCAGATTTTATCTTTAAGGTAACAAGGAGCCATCAAATTATCTTAAGAGTGGATTGACATACACGGGTTCTTGTGAAATATAATTGCAGTAGGAGAGAAAACAATGGGAAAGGATGGGGAAGGCAAGCTCCTAGGGATCAATTAGGAGGCAACCTAGTTGACAAACAGTGAGAGTAGAAACTTGGCAGATGGTGAGGAAGTGGTGACTTTAGGAAACATGAAGGAGAACCGATCTAAATTAGCAACTGACTGGGTGAAGTGAGTGCATTGGTGAGGAAGTGGTGACTTTAGGAAACATGAAGAAGAACCGATCTAAATTAGCAACTGGCTGGGTGAAGTGAGTGCATTGAGGAGGGCTAGGAGGACACTCGGGTGCCTAGGGTGGTGATTAATAGAGAGCAGCATCAATCACAGGGTCAGGCCATACTCCGGGAGGAGCAGGCTTGTGATGAGTTCTGTTTTGGAGTTGAGGTGACTGTGAAACTCTAGTAATATGTCCAGTGTATATTGGATAATGGGAGCAGAGCTCAGGGAAGAGGAAAAGTTAGAATCTCAGCAGGAGACAGTGGTCAGACCCCTTACCCCCCAAAAAAAGTAACTGAAGAAGTGTTAATGAAAGAACTATTACAAAAATATGAGCAGGATTAGGCAACTAACCGGACATTGGTTGGAACTCCTGAGGGGGCAAGAGGAGAAAGGGTTTCCGGAATGGGTAACAGCTGCATCGGTGACAGGGGACCACCTGAAAAGTGCTGTGGCCTCTGGGATCTGGGAGATGCCCCATTCCCTTTGTCCAAAGCAGCCCACATCTCAGACGGGCTGCCTAGAACCATGGCAGTCGATTACATGAGCTATACTAACCCAGGAGAGGGTGGTCCGTCACCTCTAATAGCTTGTCCCCTGCATCAGCTTCGGAAGACTGCCCCATGAACAACACTTTGACCATTTAAACTTGGATTATTACAGCACTCTATTTCTAAGTAACACTGACAAGTATTTATATAATTCTAATTGCCTGATAACCAGGGCACTTAGTTAAACCTGTAACTCATTAAATTTAGGCCTATAGAGATGACTTCCTAAAGTTGATTATTTCCACATGTCTGCATGCGTCTAGGAACTAACACTATGAACAGGATATACAGGACTAGAGAATAAACACTACTCTCAAGCATTTATTTCATATTAAAACAGTCATGCATACATAATGAATAGAATGCAAATAAATCCATGTGAATTCTAAAGATAAAACAGAAGTGAAGTAATTTTATGTTTTTAAGTTCCCTTTCCATGAGAGAAATTTTGAGAAGCATTATTTCCAGTTGTCATTGGCCTTAATATTGGAGTTCATGAATCAATCTCTGTCATTTAATGTTCTCACGACCTTGGGCAAATTATTAAAATTCTCAGAGCCTTGGGTGTCTCAGTGGTCTCAGGATGATAATACCTAACGCAAGCGTTACTATGAGGATTAAATGAAATAATTTAGTGTAAATACCTAGCATAGTGCTTTACCACACAGTATCTGAATATGTACTCCCTTCATTCTCAGCTCTCTTTGCATTAGAAACTAATTTACTGAGAGTGGGACTGATTTGTCCAGTGCTACAATTTGTTCATGGAAGAATCAAGACAAAGAAAGAAAAAGATTGAGCATCTGCTGTGTGCCAGTAACTGGACATGGAACATATGTAATGTCATTTAATCCATACAAAAGCCCTTGTGAATTAGACTAGAACCCATTTTCTGGCTCTCATCCCAGCAGTTTTCTGCCATAGCATACTGCTTCTCTTTGTTTGGATTCT